CCTATTATACACAATAAAGTGATATAATAAGCAAAGAATCATTCATACAGAAAAGGTAATAGACACACTATTAACTGCCTATAGGCACGTTACAGGGAAGACCTATAGAAAACCGCCGACAATCAACTGGATGTGACTGTAATAATGATACTGAAATTAGCTAATTGTCACTCAGTATTTATACCTATCTCGACCGGTGGCGTGACTTAGGTAGTATGCTCATCCGAGAGCGTCCTCTCAGAGAGCACAATCCCGTCGGTCACTTACTGTAATAAGTGCCGCTTCGCGCATGGTCGCGACAGTCGTCATAATATTATTATAAAGTGAAATTAATGAAGAGAAGTTTTTAATAACAAATATAAGAAAAAAAAAATAAATTTTGTCGTGATTGCAGACAAAATCTAAAAATCTGAAAAGTCGCCCTTCAGAGCGTCTCTCTTACAATGTCCTAGGGAACTTTTCTAATACACTTTCAACTGTAAGCTAAACCAGTTCTTGAACCTACAGCGCCAACCTCTAGCTACCTTATTACCTTACTTCTTGCTTAAGACTACTTCCAGTCCTAAGCCTTCTATGTTCCGACTCGCCTTGAATAGATGCCAACTCTAGTACTTAGGAAGATTGCTAGAAGCTCTTGTCGATTGACGGCCCCATATATATATTTGAGAAGGGACCTCGAAAGAGGCTTGTACTTCTGGCAAGCTGCGACTAGAGCGACGTCGCTGTCGTCGCAGCTTCAAGCAGCCGAGGAAACATGTCGATCGTGTCAACCTCGGCTAAATACTAGTGCGTCCCCATGTAATGCCGAAAGCGAGCGCTGTTTAGTTGCAGATTTATAAATTATTGTGAGACATTATGGACGGGTTTGACCTTCTGTAGTAATAGGTTATTATGTAACGTAGAACATCAGTGCGAGGCAAAGAAGGCGATAGAGCGTGGAATAGTCTGTGGAGTGGTGGTTCGGGCAGGTTGTGTAAGGTGCAGTGGTTAGTGGGACAGCACATCAAACATAGGTTGGTGGTTCGTTTCCGTTATA